AGTCAACAGCTCAGGTTGCCTCCCTCCTTGCTGTTTCCTTTCTAGTCATAGGCCACCAGCACAATCCTCCCTGCAGCCCTCGGTAACCAGGGCTGATCTTTAGGTCAATTCTCATGTCCCAACACCACTTGGAAATACTTAGGATGTTGGTCCCATCAGAGTAGCTGACAGTCTGTAGCTCTGACCATCTCCATACTTAATGTTTTCATTCAGGTTTTTCCACTGCTTGGTGCCTAATCCACTTCTGTATAGTTTCTTTCAAAGCTCAGGGCTCCAGGATTATCTTCTGTATCTCTGTCAATTAGTTTTTCTTTTCTTTGTTGAAGAGGGTCTGTGTTGCTTGTCTGCCTATTCCTCCATCTTACTGGAAGCCCCAGGGCCTATATTTTAAAAGACCATGTTGGATTCTCTATGGAGAATAAGTAGAAAGAGTGAGTGAGTATAGGGAGAACAAGAGTAGTATAACACTTCAGGATATAGATGGTGGTTTGGATTAGGCTGGTAGCCATAGAGATGGAGAGAAATGAATAGATTTGAGAAAATGCAGAGTGACAAGTCATTGAAAAAGGTGAACTGATTGAGTAGACGGGAGAGTTGAGGGAGATGCTAGAGATGAGAACTGACATAAATAGTGGGCTGGCTGGTGGTGCAATTTATAAGATGAAGAACAGTGAGAAGAAGTGGATTTAGGGTGTAGTTCTGTTTTGGACCTGTCAAATTAGAAGACCCTGTGAGCCATCTATAAGGATATGTAGAGTCAGCCATATACATAGTTCTTAAGCTAAGTGAAGAGGTCTGGTTGCAGATCAACATTTGGAAGTACTAGGCATACAGATAATTGAAGCCAAGGAAATTTTTGAAATTACCTAGATTAAGAAGAGATGAGTCTTTAAAATAGAGAAAGTCCTGAGGATTTAGAAAATAGACACTTAGAAAATAGAGCAGTTCAAGGCTGGGTAGAGGGTATTGGGCTGGCAAAGGAGAATGGGAAAGAGGAGTCAGAAAATCTGAATTATGTGCTATCATAAAGACAAGGGAAGAGAATGATACAAGGTGTTGTGTGGGTTCCTATGTAGTGGAGGGTGGGATCCTCTGTTGAATGCAGTAGAGAGGTCAGGAAAGATGGATTTATTAACACAGAGGGAGAACCGTTTCAGTGGAGTGATAGAGACTGAAGTAGTATGTAAGTAGGGAGAGAGTATGAATTGACTGAATGGATAGTGAGAATGTAGACAGTGAATGTAAACAGTTGTTAAGAGTTTAGCAGTAATGAGAAGGAAGGTGAAGCTGAGGGATGGTAACGTGCTGGGAGAGAGTTAGTAAAGGAGGTTGAAGAGAGAGGAATTAATATCCTAAGGTTCTTGAGAAGGCAGCAGTGGGACCCAGGGCAGAAAGGATTGGTTTTTCATAGGAAGGAGTGAAGGAAGAAGTGATGAGTGTTTTTGCAAGTAAATGTACAGATTTGATGGTAGAACCATTGAAATAATGCTCATAAAATGGTTTTTATATTCTGTGCAGGAATGAAGTTAACAGCTGATACTGTTGTTGTTATGTGCCATTGAGTTGGACCCGACTCATAGTGATCTCTCCTTGGGTTTCCGAGGCAGTATCACTATGGAAGTAGATTGCCCAACCTTCCTTCCGAGGAGTGGATGGTGGGTTTGAACTGCCAGCCTTCTGATTAGCAGTTACGTGCCTTAGGCACTATGCTACCAGAGCTCCCAGTAGCTGATAGTGAGTGGGAAAGAGGTAGGTGATTTTTGAGGGATAGGGATAGTAGAAAGTTTGAAATGAAATAGTTATTATGGAAAGGAAGGAGATTAGAGAAACTGTAGTTGTTTGCCCCCCCCAAAATTTGATGTTTCGTGTAAATTTCTCTTAAAAACTTTTAAAACTATCTCTCTTAGAAACTATCATCTTTTTACTGCTTTTGCCTGATACTTTTTTTGCTAGAGTCCCTGGGTAATGGAAACACTTAACATACTTGACACTAACTGAAAGGTTAGTAGTTCAGGTTCACCCAAAGGCACTGTGGAAGAAAGCCTTGGCCATCTGCTTCTGCAAAATGAGTCATTGAAAATTCTTTGAAGTATAGTTCTGGTCAGACACCCAGGGTTGCCATGAGTCAGAATTGGTCCACTTGGTATCTGGAGTGTGTCTGCTTTTAATTCTCTTCCACATTACTGTCAGATGTCAGAATAAGTTTTTTTTTTTTTTTTTAATAAGAAAATATATGTCATTACTAATATTTTTAATTGTGCTTTTAGCACACAGATTTGATAAATTATAATCCTTGATTCATGGCACACTATAATAATTGGTTCATTTATGGCCCACTTTTATTTATTCAGTAATTTTTAAAAAATGTGTTAAACAGGTCTCCTTCTGAGGAGTGGCTGGTGGGTTTGAACCAGGCTTCTAGTTAGGAGTCAAGTGTCTTAGGCACTACCCTTGATGGCACATAACAACAACAAGAAGTAGGTCTCAGTTCTGTCTCTTCCCTGCTCCTACCTGTAGTGACAATCATTCTGATTCTTAGATTCATCCTTTTGTTATGCCCCTTTTGATATTGTTTTTATTGCACTTACATGGTTTATAAGAAGTACTTTTTATTATGGAAAATTTCAAACATACAGAAAAATAAAATGAATTGCTATGTATCTATCGTGTAGCTTCAGACCAATTTGTTTACTGTCCATGCTCTTTTCCACCAGTGAATTATTTTCAAATAAATTCCAGGCACCATACCATTTTATATGCACACATATACACACATTTAAATTAACAGTGTTCTTATACTGTATGTAATCTTTAGTCTTCTTGAGAATGCTTTCTTAGCATATTGTCAAGATCAGTCTATATTGTTGCATGTTACAGTTTATTCATCTTTTGTTGATGGGCATTTTAGGTTGGTTGTAGGCTTTTGTTATTGTAAATAGTGCTGCTGTGAATAGTTTTATATAAATGTCTTCTGGTGTGTGTTGGCAAAAATTTCTTTTATAGATTTTCCTGGGTTATATAATGTGTGAATGCCTGACAACATTTAGGATATGATGTTAGCTTTTTTTCCCACAGTGGTTGTCCTGATTTACACGAGCTCTGGTAGCATAGTGCCTAAGGCACTTGACTGCTAACCAGAAGGCCAGAGGTTCAAACCCACCAGCCACTCCTCGGAAGGAAGGTTGGGCAATCTCCTTCCCTAGTGGTATTGCCTTGAAAACCCAAGGAGGGGAGGGGTCGTTATGAGTCGGGCCTGACTCGATGGCACAAACAACGACAATAGCGACGTATTAGGGGATATTTCAGCTACAGATTTTACCATGTTTATTTGATTAATATTCTTTAGTGGTTTCCTTTAATCGAATAAGTGGTCATTCCTTCCCTGTATTCATATTGTGGAGTACTTATTATGTGCTCGGCACTGTGTTAGGTGCATGGAACATAGCAAGGAATCAGATAAACTTCCTGTTTCCAAATTAAAGTTCAGTCTTTCCCGCCTTTAATAAACCAGGTCCTTCATGATCTGGCATCATTCTATCTCCTTAGCCTCAGCCTACCTTTCTTGCTTTATTTCTTGCCACTTCCTGAAACTCAGTCCCAATGTTATGAGTTATTCACAGTTTCCAAAAGCACTGTGCTCTGTTCTGGCTCTGTGGCCTTGCAAATGCTGTTACCTATGTCTTCAAACCCTTACCGTCACTATTATCTGCTGCATCTCAGATCAAACATGAACTGTTCTAGGAAGTCTTTGCTGATCTCCCTACTCAGAATTTATCTTCCTTCTCTGTACTGCCATGTTATGTGCCGTCGAGTCAGACCCAACTTATACAGACCCTCCTTGGGTTTCCAAGGCAGTATCACTATGAAAGTAGGACTTGAAAAAAAAAAAAATTACTGTGCTTTAGATTAACGTTTACAGAGCAAATTTGTTTTCCATCACTAGTTTGTATATAAAGTGTTCCATGACATTGGTTGTATTCCCCACAGTGTGTCAGCACTCTCCCCATTTCAGTCCTGGTTTCCCTGTTTTTTTTTTGTCTGAATTTTCTATCCCTTCCTGCCTTTGGATCTTTGCTTTTGGGCAAATGTCCTTTAGATCTTGTATAATTGATTGTTTTAGGGAACACTATTCCTCTTAGGTATTATTGTTTATTTTATGGTCCTGTCTGTTTGGCTGAAAGGTGGTCTCCAGGAATGGTTTCAGTTGTAGATCTGAAGGGTATCTTGGGGGACATAGCTTTAGGGGTTAATTCAGTCTCTGTCAGACCAGTTAGTTTGCTCTTTTTTGGTGAATTTTAATTTTTGTCCTACATTTTTCTCCTTTTCTGTCCAGGAACCCTCTCTTGTGATCCCGGCCAGAGCAGTCATTAGTGGTATCTGGGCACCATCTAGCGCTTCTGGTCTTAGGATCATGTAGGCAGGCTATAGTTAATGTGGTCCATTAGTCCTTTGGACTAATTGCTCCCTTGAGTCTTTGATTTTCTTCACTCTCCTTTGCTCCGGAACGGAAGAGACCAATATATCTTAGATGGCTGCTCAAACTTTTTTTTTTTTCCCTTTCCCCCACCCTCCATAGCTTACAGACTTTTAAGACCCTAAACACTACTCACCAGAGTAGGATATGGAACATTGTCTTTGTGAACTGTGGTGTGCCAGTTGATGGAGGTGTCTCCCGAATCTGTGGTCCTTAGCCTTCAAGCCGAGGAACTTCATCCCATGAGGTGTTTAGTTATGTCCAAGACATTTTAAGGAGTAAATGACTAGATTTAATAATAGACCTGATAGAAATGAAGGAGACTAAAAAATCAGATGTGATTTTGAAGTTCTTCCCTGGCAGACTAGGAGGCCTTTATTGTATATTCTTATAAAGGTGGTGGAATGAGTTGAAGTGGGCTGTGGAGTGACACTCTAGCTATTTTGGCTGCTTCTGAATCGGTCACAGAAATCTTTGACCTTAGTGCTCCTGTTCCCTTTTATCTAATGTTTTTCTTATCTTTTAGGTGCAGAACTTGGCAGTGAGGAACCAACAGGCCTCAGCCCAAGGACCCCAAATGCAAGGCTCAACTCAGAAGGCCATTCCTCCTGGAACCTCCCCTACCTCTAGCCTTTCCCAGGCCTCTAGCCAGGCCCTTGCTGTGGCTCAGGCTTCCTCTGGGGCCACAGGACAGTCCCTCAATCTTAGCCAAGCTGGTGGAGGCAGTGGAAATAGCATCCCCGGGTCCATGGGTCCAGGAGGTGGTGGCCAGGCACCTGGGGGCTTGGGTCAGTTGCCTTCCTCAGGAATGGGTGGTGGTGGGAGCTGTCCCAGGAAAGGCACAGGAGTGGTACAGCCCTTGCCTGCAGCCCAAACAGTGACTGTGAGCCAGGGTAGCCAGACAGAGGCAGAAAGTGCAGCAGCCAAGAAGGCAGAAGCAGAGGGGAGTGGTCAGCAGAACGTGGGCATGAACCTGACACGGACAGCAACACCTGCTCCCAGCCAGACCCTGATTAGCTCAGGTGGGTTAGTTGTTCTCTCTCAGGATGTCATTATTCTCTCAGAAATTGTTTGAAATCTTCAGAGTACATTCTTTGCTTTTATTCCCTGCTTCTCTTGGCCCTGGAGTAATGGAAGAAAAGTCGCATCAGTCTTGAACTTAGTGTCTGGGGAGATAGGAGAATAGGTGTAACAGATTGATCTTGTATGTTTGTAGTAGGCAGCAGTCACTTTATAAGTAGCGTTATCCTCTCTTTCTTAGGTGTTGAATTCTTCAGTTTATTCAGTCTACCCATTCATTCACCCAGTTCTTACCAAATTGCCTACTGTGTCCTAGGAAGTGCTGGGCTATAGCTTTGAAAAGCAAACTCCCAGTCTTCATAGGGCTTGTCTCTTTTGCTGAGTACTGAATGAGAGGATTTGATATTTAAGTATAACAAAGAAAATAAAAGCGAGGTAAAGGCAAGAGAATTTTGAGAATTGATAAGTGGTTAAGCAAGGGAATTCCTCTCCTTGAGATCATGAGGACTATAAAAGGTCCTGTCTGCAGGGAAGAGTATGGATGAGGTGTAAACTCTGCCTTGTAGGATAGATTTCTATTCATTATGAATCTACAACTAGTTACAACTTGGAAAGATGATTTTACTTTATAATGATTCTTGTTTTCTGCTCATCTCTTTGTTCCACTGTGGGCATGTGCCTATAGCCACCTACACACAGATACAGCCCCATTCACTGATTCAGCAACAACAACAGATCCACCTACAGCAGAAACAGGTGGTGATCCAGCAGCAGATTGCCATCCACCATCAGCAACAGTTCCAGCACCGTCAATCGCAACTACTCCACACAGCCACCCACCTCCAGTTGGCCCAGCAGCAGCAGCAGCAGCAACAGCAGCAGCAACAACAGCAGCAGCAGCAGCAGCAGCAGCAGCAGCAGCAGCAGCAGCAAGCCACAACCCTCACTGCCCCTCAGCCACCACAGGTCCCACCTACTCAGCAGGTCCCACCTTCCCAGTCGCAGCAGCAAGCTCAAACCCTGGTTGTTCAACCCATGCTTCAGTCTTCACCCCTCTCTCTCCCACCTGACCCAACCCCTAAGCCACCCATCCCAATCCCCATCCAATCCAAACCATCTGTAGCACCTATCAAGCCTCCTCAGTTAGGGGCTGCTAAGATGTCCGCTACCCAACAACCACCACCTCACATCCCTGTGCAAGTTGTAGGCACCCGACAGCCAGGTACAGCCCAGGCACAAGCTTTGGGGTTAGCACAGCTGGCAGCTGCTGTGCCTGCTTCCCGCGGGATGCCAGGTGCAGTGCAGTCAGCTGGTCAGGCCCATTTGGCTGCCTCGCCACCTTCATCTCAGGCTCCTGGTGCACTGCAGGAGTGCCCTCCCACATTGGCCCCTGGGATGACCCTTGCCCCTGTTCAGGGGACAGCACATGTTGTAAAGGGTGGGACAACAACCTCCTCACCTGTTGTAGCCCAGGTTCCTGCTGCCTTCTACATGCAGTCTGTGCACCTGCCGGTGAGTGATGTCTGATGTTTTGAAAAAAAAAAAACTCTGTCCATAAGAGTAGACTTGGGCCCCAGTGGAAACAGAGCTTAATTTAATAGGATTAAAGTGTTGAGGTTATAATACTGGTATTTACCTGTTACTTGTGTGAGAGGAGTGAGACAGGCATACACACACACACACACACACACACATTAATATATATACCTGACTTTATATTCGTAATTTGCTTCTGAAATTATTCTAGATTTGAGTGTTGTTGTTAAGTGCTGTCGAGTCGTTTCTGACTCATAGCGACCCCATGCCCAGCAGAACGAAACACTGCCCGATCCCACGCCAGCCCCACAATCCCTGCTATACTGGAGCCCATCATCGCAGCCACCGTGTCAATCCATCTCGTTGAAGGCCTCCCCCTCTTTCGTCAACCCTCCACCCTACCAAGCATGACATTCTTCTCCAGGGAATGGTCCCTCTTACAACATGACCAAAATAGGTGAGACGAAGTCTGGCCATTCTTGCTTCCAAGGAGCATTCTGGCTGCACTTCCTCCACTTGAGTGTGTACAAAGCTAAATCAAGATTACCTTGACCAAATCCATGTTTAGAAAAAACAGTTCTTATATGGAAGTAATTATGGAATTAAGGAATTCCACTTACTGACTAATATCGTTTTCTTTCTTCTCCCTTTCCTACTCATTATAAAGGGCAAACCCCAGACATTGGCTGTCAAACGCAAGGCTGAGTCTGAAGAAGAGAGAGAAGATGTCTCCACATTGGGATCAATGCTTCCTGCCAAGGCATCTCCAGTAGCAGAGAGCCCAAAGGCCATGGAGGAGAAGAGCAGTCTTGGAGGTGAGTAACTTCTAAAATAAATGCTGTTGGAGTATACAGAGATAGACAGAATTCTGAATGAGCCAGAGTTCAGTAGAAAATGGCCTGAACCAGAGAACCGGAGGACAATTAAGTAGTTGCGAAAACCAGGGAATCCAGAGTGAATAATCAAGGATGAAAATGTATTATTGTGGAAGATCTGCCTGTATCAGTTATTCCATTCCATATCTTTGTTTTCCAGAGAAAGCTGAACCAGTGATTGGTGTGAATGCTAATACTCCAAGCAGTGAACTAGTAACTCTGACCCCTGCCCCATCAGCACCACCTACGCTGGCCATGGTGACTAGACAAATGGGTGACTCCAAACCTCCACAGGCTATTGTGAAGCCTCAGATTCTCACTCACATTATTGAAGGCTTTGTTATCCAGGAAGGAGCCGAACCTTTCCCGGTGAGGGTAGAGCCGTAAGGTGGGACTTTAAAGTAGGGACCTTGTCTGATTTCAGACTCCACTAAACACAAAAGACACAGAGCTATATTATGGTGCCATTAGGTTAGCTGTAAAGAAGGTAAAGAAAAGGCAAAAACATTTGGGTCTGAAAACGAATGTTGGGAGACAGGAGTAAAAAGGAAGATGGTAACCTTTAAAGCTGTGGTGTGTTTAGACAAAACAGGTGATTTTATAGTGAAAAAAATCGTGGTAGACAAGTGGCACTTTTCCTAGGTTTTGCATTAGTTGCAGAACCAAGAGTCCAGAACTGAGTATCTTGAGTCCTAGTGCATTCTGTGCACCTTAACAAGGAAAAGGACAAAATAGGGAGCTAGGGCAGGAGCCTGTTCTCTGACAACAAGCTTCAGTTGTGTCACTAGTGGCATGTGGACCATACCGTGTGACATTCGGGTTGACACTAAAGTGACTGTACAATTTTTGTGCAATACTTCAGAAATTTTGTATTTTTTATAAAAACATCCCTGCAGTTGGTTATAACAGCAAAAACATTTTTGATAATCCCTAGCTTATGTGTATCAGTATACCTACAAGTTTAAAATGCTAAGCTGATTTTACTTTTTGAACCTTCTGATCTCTTTTTGGAGCTGTCATTGTTACTAAATTATATTGGTGCTTCGAATTGTGGTTTCACCTGCATGTGCTACAAATGTGTATTTTTGTCAGTGCTGTTTTTATACTTGGTGATTCTGTCATTTTTCTGGTTTTTTAGCTACAGTATTATGGTAATTAATGTTTGCACCTATATCAAGAACTTTTTTGGGAATGAAGTAGTAATTAAAAGGAAAAGGAGAAAAATTAAAAGGCTTCCGCTCAGTTACTAATAGTGAATAATGTAATTCAGTATAGATTTTACAAAACAATTTTGTTAGTATTCCTATAATCTAAGAAATATTACATTTAAGCAATTTACAACTAAATCACATTCTAAGATTAAAATTCTTTATGGTTTGGTAGGGGAGGCGGCCTGTGAAGTTTGACACTATATGGCACTGGGTGATGCTACTAAATGGCTTATCTGAAAAAAGCCAATTAGATTCTTGAATTCTTGATTGCCATGTTGAAAGTAATTCTATCTGAATCAGACTTGGTCATTAATTCAGATACAGGCAAAGGCATAATGGTGAAGAGTTTTGGAGAAGAGGTTATTTATATAAGGGACAGAAAGGAAATAGGCTAACTTAACTGTAAACTTTTTCTGGGACAGGTTGGTTGTTCTCAGTTACTGAAAGAGTCTGAAAAGCCACTCCAGACGGGTCTCCCATCAGGGCTGAATGAGAATCAATCATGTGACCCCTTGGGAGGGGACAGTCCATCTGCGGGTGAGTATTTAGAAACCCATCCAGGGTAGGAGGTTCATAGATACATGTTAGATGACTTAGGTATAATAGTAACTGTTATTTAAAATGAGAAATATGTGAAGTTTGTTTAATACCCACCCCCCTACCCCTACTGCCTTCAAGTCATTTCTGACTCATAGCAACTCTACAGGACAGAGTAGAACTGCCCCAAAAGAGTTTCCAAGGCTAGAATCTTTACAAAAGCAGACTTCCACATCTTCCTCCTACGGAGCACCTGGTGGGTTTGAAGCAGTGACCTTTTGGTTAGCAGCTGAGCACTTTAACAACTGTGCCACCAGGCTCCTTATCTACACACAGAAACCATACTTATGTATCAGAGTATATAGAATCACAACAGAAGTTACCAGGGGAATTTTATCAGGCTAAAATAACACATTTTTCTTTATTACAAGACTTTATTTTTCAAAAGATGATCTGAAACAGGACATTTACAGTTTTACTTTCAAGTTTTCCTTATTCTAGATTCTGTAATCTATACTAAGAACTTTTCTAGTCTTGTAAAGTAGTTCTTCTTTCTCATTAGAAAATGGAGTATATCTAGAATCTGAGAGTAAAAATAGATAAAATTAGTAAGAGACAATTTAGAATGGAAATTATTGTTGTTGTTGCTTTGTGCCATCGAGTCGGACCTGACTCAAAGCGACCCCTCCTTGGGTTTCCGAGGCAGTATCACTACGGAAGTAGATTGCCCCATCTTCCTTTCTAGGAGTGGCTGGTGGGTTTGAACCACCAGCCTTCTGGTTAGTAGTCAGGTGCCTTAGGCACTACGCTGCCAGAGCTCCCAATAGTCTGGCTTAAAGTTAAGAAGACTTTATGAAGTTCTTGAAGGACAAATCCTCATGGTTTTGGATTTTGAATTTCTTTTAAAAAATTTATTATAAAACTTTGAGATGTAAGATTATAGGGATCAAATAATGAACCCCCTGTTCCTGTGACCCTGCTTCAACAGTGATCAACTCTTGGCCAGTCTCATTTCATCAGTAATACCCACCTTCTCCCTTCCTAGATTATGGATTTTGTACTTTGTGTTTTAGGGATTCCTAATTAGGCTGTGTAGATCTTTGGGGGAATACTATCTTGGTATATAACTAAGTGATGGCAGTCAAGCACAAGGCCTAATGATGTCCTGAGTGGTAGCAGACACTGATGGCAACTCTCCCGCTGTGCCTATTTTTATTTTTCCAGAACTAGATAAGAAGGCAAATCTCCTGAAGTGCGAGTACTGTGGGAAGTACGCCCCTGCGGAGCAATTTCGAGGCTCTAAGAGGTTCTGCTCCGTGACGTGCGCTAAGAGGTCAGCATAATTCATTCCTCCTCCTAATGCCATACCCCTTCCTTGGGATCATCTCACAGCTATATTTTATCTCCTTTGCTTTCATTCCCTCCCCTAGATCCACTCTTAAAATACCAATTCACATTTAGGGCCAGGTAGCAGGGTAGTTTATAGCACCTTTGATACCTTTTATAGAACCCTGTATATGCTCTGACTTGTAGGTACAATGTGAGCTGTAGCCACCAGTTCCGACTGAAGAGGAAAAAAATGAAAGAGTTTCAAGAAGCCAACTATGCTCGTGTTCGCCGGCGGGGGCCCCGCCGCAGCTCCTCTGACATCGCTCGTGCCAAGATCCAGGGCAAGCGCCACCAGGTGAGCTTCGGTTACAGAGCCAGCTTCAAAGCTGACCTTTTCTCCTCCTCCCCTACAGGGCAGTACTTGGTCTCACATGGATTGCATTAATCCAAATTTCACAACACCCTGACCTCCTTTATCTCCTTCCACCTGACTATTGGTTCACATACCCATTAATCTTTATAACAATTGCTAGTGATATAGGTAAGAAAGAGAAAAATCAAGAAAATGATGTGGTTTATAGTTTATAATTGAAACACTCTTTAAGAGTGGACTAGTATCTTTGGGCATTTGCAAGTGAAGTGGAAATTATTTCACATGGTAAGCTTAGCCTTTCCTCTGTGCCCAGTATTAACGGTTGGGAGGGCAGGACTAATGACACGGAGTTATTCTTGATGTCACTGTGTTGCTTTTTTCTCTGTAGGGTCAAGAGGACTCTAGTCGGGGTTCAGATAATTCCAGTTATGATGAAGCACTCTCTCCAACATCTCCTGGCCCTTTATCAGTGAGAGCTGGGCATGGAGAACGTGACCTGGGGAACCCCAATACAGCTCCACCAACACCAGAATTACATGGCATCAACCCTGTGTTCCTGTCCAGTAACCCAAGCCGTTGGAGTGTAGAGGAGGTTTACGAATTTATTGCTTCACTACAAGGTACTGAGGGCCTCTTCAGTAGAACCCAGGGCACGTATATGCTTAGTTACTTAGTTTTCCTAAGGCCATCCAAATGGCCCATTGTCAGGGAACATATACCTGATTAACTGATTTTTAAAAGTATCTGTATATTAGTGCTTCTCCATATAGGTAGTACAAAGGCTCACATTTTTAGTATTTGTTCAAGTTACTTGCCCACAGCCTGGTTTCTTAATTTCTTTCTGGACTAACATCGTTCTCTACAACGCCAGCAGTTTTGCAGTTTTTCATCCTATCATTCAGCTATGTTTCTTGCAAAAGTATTTGGAGAAAGATGGTTTTTTGCATGGGATTTACTGATAACATCCATAGAAAAGACTTTTCATTGGAGAAAGTGATTAGAAACTAAGGGACCATTTTGCCACACTCTCTTGAAGGCGAGACTGTTTATAAATTGTCTTAACAAAGAATTTTCTCCAGAAAAGAAGAATCATGGCTTGCTAGATTTGTCTAGATCCTGGGCCCTTAAACAAAATGTCACAAAGGCTCTTAACCTTGATTATTTTAACAAGGGTAACAGAAAGCATGTATATATTTTTACCCTCTTTACCAAGTCATTTAGGAGCTCTGGTGGCATAGTGCCCAAGGCATTTGATTACTAACCAGAAGGCTGGCCCTTCAAACCCACCAGCCATTCCTCAGAAGGAAGACTGGGCGATCTACTTACGTAGTGATACTGCCTCGGAAACCCAAGGAGGGGTCGCTGAGTCATATTGACTTGACGGCAGTGAGTTTGGTGTTTTTAGGTTACCAAGTCATTTGGATGAAGTTATTTCAGTGGACTTATAGTTGTTCTTTCTTGTCCTTGGCTTTTTGTCATTTGCCCTAATTTCACCTTGCTTGCCATCTGAGGCCTTTATATTACTGACTTCAGGAAAAGTGAGTTCCCCTTTGGGATTACTCTTTGGGAGGCATGTTTATTCATCTTTACTTTCCCACTTTTATTCTCTGGAGTGTTATCATGCAGTTTCTCACACGTTTCCACCATTTCCTTCTAGGCTGCCAAGAGATTGCAGAGGAGTTTCGTTCCCAGGAGATTGATGGACAGGCCCTTTTATTACTTAAAGAAGAACATCTTATGAGTGCCATGAACATCAAGCTTGGTCCTGCCCTCAAGATCTGCGCCAAGATAAATGTCCTCAAGGAGACCTAACGTGCCCTCTTGCACAAACAAGCCTCAGACAGACACTCCTTACTGTTCAGGTCATATAACCTGGTACCAGTAGAGACTTTATAGGGAAGAACTGTCCCAGTTTTATAAATCTTCTGTAGAGGGGATTACTGAGACAGGGAAGAGGAGTGCAAGAACTGGTTGCTGGTGCTATATGGCAGCAGCTTCTGATATTTTCCTCTGGGTTCTACTTTATTTTTAAAAAAATCTTTGCAATTCTCACCATTCCCAGTGACCCTAATTCTACCTTTCTCAAACTGGCAGTCTAGAAAACTAGTGCTGCTGAGCCTTATCCTGGAGTGGAGCATCTAGCCAGGGTTTCATTTCTCAAAAGAGGAATGTACAAGGCAAGAAAATGGGTGGGATGTAGGTTTACCTCCCCAAAGGGAGAGGTAGGGGTTTTCTAGCTTGTGTGATACAAGTAGCAAAATCTGGTACTCCCTCTTCCCTCTGGAGCATCCCAACGTAGCTATGGCCCAGAGTTTACTCTTTGTTGTCACTCCCTTAGTGTTACACATTTTTCACCTGCATCCATGGCAGGGTCACCAGCCAGTGACTTACTTGGTTGGCATCTTTCTGATTTGCTGCAGGGACTAAAACTGTTTGACTGACACCTGTGTGAGACTGTTGTCATTTTTTCGGCATCCCCATTCCCCTCCAGTTTATCTGTTGTCTTCTACTTTTTCAATTTCAACTCTGCTGTCCTATAGCTTTATAAAACAAGAGTGTGTGGGGCTAAGGTCAGGAATATAAGCACCTGCCTTAGGCACTATTCCTTGTACAACAAAAATATAAATATTTTTTCTCTTCCTCAGTAAAAGGATGAAATTCGTCTCAGTTGTCTTAATCTATTGTAATCTCTCTCTACCCTTTTTCACAGAAATGACTAAGCCAACATGGTCTTTTTTTGTTATTATTTTTTAATCTTAAGTGTTTTGTACAAAAGTGTAGGTTTATTATTTTTTTTTTTTTGCATTTTAAAATACAAGGGTGTGTGGGGGAAGGTATGCAAACAAAAAATAAAAAGATGTTGTATTTACATCATTTTCCCTGTTTAAAAAGAAGAATTCCTGTTATCACTTAAAGTCCAAAGATGGAAATGAGTTCATTTTCTTCCCTAAAACCTATAAAAGCCCCTGCCGATTGAGTCATCCCTTTGTCTACTGGAGCCACTGAATTCTTCAGTGGCTCAGAGGTTCACTATTACAGAAATACCAGACACATTTCTGGGCACATGGCCTAATAAACAAAAAGGTGGAAGCATCAGAATATTAAAAACCCTGTACCACAGAAATGTGGCCAGGGAGATACTTCCCTGAGCCAGCAGAAGGGGCAGGTGTGACAGCATTCCACACCCAGATTAGAGGAGAGCAGAGTCCTAGATGCCTCACTTCTATTTCTATTCCCTTTCCAGATAATTGGAAAATAAAAAAGGTAAAATGACATGTCTGGGAAGAAAGTGCAACGTGATGTTTACAAACACTGGCAGAGGGAAACCTTAGGAATAAAAGCTGTGCTAGCTTTTACAAATGGCAAAGGACTTCCCACTCCAAGGTAAACTGACTTCACTTTCCTGGAACCCCAGTAGCAGAGGTTGTCAGTTTCTTTCCAATTGACTGAATTTCTGTATTAGGCATTTTGGCTTTATAAATTCAGGATCTAGTTCAAGCTCTAAAATGTCACCCCAATGTCAACAAATGTGATACCTTATAATCCTGTAATTGAGAACATTTTCTTGTCCTGATCACAGGTGGGAAAAACAAGTCTAGGACCTCCCCAGGTTCAGACCAAATAGCAGGGCTATTTGCAACCAAGTAATCATGGCAGAAAAGTTCCAAGCAGCAAGAAATTCCATCCAGATTCTCACAGGGCATGTGTTCTGGAGTAATAGCATGAAAGCAACTGAAATTTGTAGTTATTTAAATTAAGGAAATCCAGTGTCTCAAAAACTTGTGAAAGTTTAAGAAAGAAAGGGCCAGGGAGCCTGCCATGTCCTTTGGCCCATTTTCTATCCTACTTGTACCTTCTGATAACAAGAGATAGTCCAGTAGCCTCTCTTGTCACTGGCCCTATTATCTCTATCCTATAACTGTACCACCTTTAGAAGAAAACAAAATAGGAAAAGGAAGGGAATTCTAGTGAGAAGATTCAAATATAAAGCAAACTGAAAAAGCAAGACCAATATCAAGGGTTCAGTGAGAGATGAGGAAATACTTGAGAAATCTGGCTGAGTATGCTTTGGTTTGGGGGACTGAAGAAGAGGCTGGAAATTTAAAGTGCAATCACATTGGTAATAAATGATCATCCCTTTCTTCTGACTCTTCCCCAAGCTGGTCATCCCCCACACCACGATACGCAGCAGGCACATTTCGGGGTTTAGAACGGCACACAAAGTCACAACCATCCTATAGGGAAAAAACAAGGTAGAAATAGTTTAGAACATCATCTTTAGAGTAAAGCAAGGTATATGGTGGTTTAAGAACAGGCAAGAACTGATTTTTTCCAGGGATAATGAACAGGAAACTCAAAAGATCCAAGAATGGGACTAATTTCAATTTTGGGAAAAGAAACAGTGTCTCCTTTCCTCCATCCTGCTGGACACTGCCTAGTAGTTTCCAACTCATAGTGACCCTATAGGACAGAGCAGAAATTCCCTATAGGGTCTCTAGGTTGTGATCTTTACCAGGAGGAGTGTGGGTAGTACAATGGTTAAGCTCTCGGCCACTAACACAAAGGTTGGTGGTCTGAACCCACCAACAGCTCCTTGGGAGGAAAGACCTGGCAATCTGCTCCTGTGAAGATTACAATCTAGGAAATCCCATGGGGCAATTCATTGTCCCATAGGGTCGCTGAGTCAGAATTGACTGGATAGCAACAACAGATCTACGGGAGCAGACTGCCAGTTTTATTTCTCCCCCAGAATTGCTGATGGGTTTGGTTATCAGCCAAGTACTTAACCACTGCACCCCCAGGGCTCCATCTCCTCCATCCAGACCCCTTAATAGCCAGGCAGGACTTAGCAGAAGAGATTATTGAATCAACAGTGCTGATCTTCCAGCAAAGTCTTAGTGAGGTCAGAAACTAAGATGTTATACCACCTATTACTTTGTACTAGCACAAGTGACAATCTGTTTGCCTGGGACTTTTGTGCTTTTGGCACCAAAATCTCCATGTCCCAGGAAACTCTACAGTCCTGGGCAACACAGAACAGTTAAGTCACCCAACCTTGTAACAGGCTATAGACTGAGCTAGCTGCCCTGTTACTTACAGCTACTAGGTTGCCAAGATCCTGCCAAAAGGCTAAGTGGGGAAACTGCTCCATTCCCTTGGCTCCCACCACCAGGCGCTGGTATAGAAATCCCCCGATGATATAGACAGCCACCAGTGATGCAAATCTGTAGTGCAGAGGAAGAAGAAAGATATCTATACTTAAAAATTGAGAAATAGTACAACTCAGATACTAAGAAATAACCTATATTCCTCACTAGCTGATCCCTAAGCTATGTTCTGTCAATAAGTAATAATGCTGTATGAAAAAGGGGCTGGTAGCTTCCTTGGATAACCAATTACTTGTGTGAGAAAAGCAAAATGCTCAGAATAAATGAGACACTGTGTATTTCTGTTATACATATAATTCATTTTCTCCAGAAGTTCTTATAATCTAATGGGATAGTATTAAAAATGGTCTAGCTCTCTACAAGAAAAAGAAAAAACACCCCACGTACAAACAATTACCAGGACAAAACATTACACCTACTTTTTAATTTGCATACCCACTGCCATTGAGTCATTCTGTGACCCCTCCATTGGATTTCCAAGGCTGTAAATCTTTATGGAAGTAGATTTCCTCATTTCCTCCCACAAAGCACGTGGTGGGTTTGAACCACTGACCTTCTGGTTAGCAGCTAACTGCCTTATCCATTTCGCCACCAGAGCTCATTTTTTAACTTACACAGTCAAGAGTTTTAAGATTTTTTTTACAAAGTTCTCCCCCCTCAATTAAAGTAATAAAGCACACATACAATTCATACTCACTTATCACCAAATAGTTACTCTTGACTTAAAAATAAATAAGTAAAAGGCTTGCACTGATGAGAGAAACAGGGTACTCACATGACAAGTAAGATAGAACCCACACTCAGGTGGGAGACTTCTGGGGAACAGGCAAGGCTGCTATCCAGTTCAAAGAGGTAGAAACAATCTTGGACTTTACCTCGCTCCTCAGACACAGGGTTAAAATTATCCTAATGATGAGAGGATGAAAGCCAACAATTATGAGGTAAACTGTTTGTTTGATGCCAAAAACCCACAAACCAAAATCTTTTGCTTCTCTTGGTTCAATAATCTATTTTCCATGAATGATGGGTGATGGGTGTCTATGACACAGGAAAAACTCCCATCCCGGTGCACCTTCCACCCTTTGGAAGTTCGTTCCCACCTCAGATTGGTCCTGTCATCTCCCTAGGCTCATATACCCCATGAAACCTCACCGCTAGAGTGTGTCGATTACAGGAGATCATCACCACTGCACGACGCTGCTCCTTGCCACAGTGTCTGTCATATTCATCACCTCCTTTATAGATCAGCATGATCCAATTACCTAAAGAGCGACAAGAAAAATTAAACTATGGAGTAGGTGAAAAGCAGAGTGGAACTGAGAAGTTCAGTGAGATTGGTATTAATAATAACAAGTCTCAACAGTAAGAGCTCTGTATATCAGAAATGTAGTTGAAATTTGCTTCCTTACAACAGCTTTAGTGTTCCTTGTTGAAGACAATTAAGAATCAGATACTCCTATAGCAATAGTCTTAATTTTCCACATTAAAAGCAGACAGCTGATAGTGCAACACGAATTATAAGCCATACCTTTACTTAACACCGACTGACACTTTCTGAACAATTGCTAACAGTAAAAGAAGAGGGTCCATATAATCACTGGGTAGTAGGGGGAAGTCTGTCTAAGATTTAAAATTAGCCACAGATAAATTCAAAGTGGGTAATTCTTAAGACTGGACTACAATTCTTCTTCAGTTATTTACTATGTTCAAAGTTCTTCTGCAAAACATATCATTTGGTTCTTTCAACAATCATGTGAGGTGAATAAGGTAAGAATTTGCCTTCCAATTTGGATTATGAGAAAACAGGATTAACTGCAATGATTTTTCAAGGTCATAGATCTAGTAACTATGATGAGCTTGGTCAAGAACCCAGTATCTTCTATTTGTCACCCTGTGATAGTTGGAGCTGTGTGTCAACTTGGCTGGACCACAATTCTGTGTGGTTTGAGCTGTTGTGGTGTGGTTGTTCCCATGAGGAGATCAGATGACTATGTTCTGAGTGGCCAGTCTGTTGAAAGGGAATTTCCCTAGGGGTGTGGCCTGCTTCCAGCATATCCAAGGACATCCTGGGAAGAGAGACATTCTTCTGTGGATCGGGATTCTGTTGTCTGTAGTGAACAGTCCACCATTCGGCCTGGAGATCTTGGATTCGTTATTCGTTGGAGTTAACAGCCGGTGTACTGCCTGCCAGCCTTGAGCTCCTCAGCCCCTGTGGTTGCAAGAGCCAGGAAAAACCTCCAGCTTGAAGTTCCAGGAACTTTGGACTTGCCAGCGTCTTTAAGTGTGTGAGCCATTTTCCTAAGATAAATTTCTCTCGATATATACATACATATATATAAGCTTTATTGGTTTTTGTTTCTCTAGAGAACCCAGTCTAACACATACCCCAAACTCTTTTATCATCTGTAGTGGATAATTTGTCTGCTTACATTAGAAAATTAGAATACAGGTATACTCAACATAGTCCTTTCTAGCAATATGATTTTATGACTTTTTAGAACCATCACCACCACAGCCCAAGTTGGCAGGGAAATTTTTATAGACTGATCAGCTTACAAAAAAGGTTAGACTCAAAATTTGACCAGCAAAGTTTGAGTAATGAGAAATGTTAGTGGTTGGTATTTTTATGCCTAGCATGAAAATAAGTATTTGGCAGTATTTGTTAAGTATGTGACTAGATTCTTTTTTCTCCGTAAGTTTTTCACTAACTTCAAAAACAAACACATAAATGTCCTGAGCCTCGCTGATTTCAACTATGGAAATAGAAATTCTCTGGTTCACCATCTAAGGTATGCTGACCCACACATAGCATGATATACTAAAAAGATTAGAAAAAATTGAGACATAGAGGATTGCCAGAGGGATTGACTTGGGATGGATCAATCAATAGGGAGAGGCTTACTTCCGTTGAAGATGTGAGTCTCATTGAGTCTCCCTACCACCGTCTCCTTCCCGCTATTTTTGTTGATCTGCACCAGGCCTGCCCCAGACGTATAGTTGCCAGCTTCCCTGCACACCCTGAACATGTAGATATATGTGTCTGGGCCCTGGCCCACAGTGCTCGCAAAGCTGTAAGGAGATATGAAAAGAAAGAAGACAGTTACTGACTATCAGCCTCAGGAAGAGCAGCTTTTTTGTTTAACCAAAAGAACAGGTGTGCTTGATTTACTTATCTGACCCTATGGCTAAATGTAATAGTAAACAGTAATTTGTTGGATCATAAGATATCCAGGACCATGGCAGACTGTCATGATCACTGATGATGATGGATTAAAATACACTACCCAAAGCAGATATTCTAGGATCCCTGATCTAGGCTAAATATTAGTTACTATTTCCCTATGAATAAGGATACTCCCTTGTTCCTTAATGATCACTTTCCCCAGAAATGCCTTGATAGAAAGACCTGGCAATTTACTTGGGAAAAACCAGCTACTGAAAAACCCGATGGGGCAGAGTCCTACTCTGGCATGTATGGAGTGGCCATGCCTCAGGGTCACATCAATGGCAACTAGTTTTCAGATTACTATATCTGAAGATTCCTTCAAGTTATGGTGATTTCATAAAGCCCTAAACATATTTATACGATCCTTCTAAGGTCTTATTATATTTAGAAATCAAATAGTTTTGAATTCCTACAAGCTGGTCTCTTGATTCTAGTCTTAGAAGCAGCTAGTGTTCTGCATAAGGTAAGAGAATTGCACATAGCTACTAAAAACTTCTGAGAATCTACTCTTTATTACAAGAGAGTAAGGTATCATGCCTAATTAAGATCAATACTGCTGAAGTTCAGATTAAAATCATCTCTCAGAGGTTATTATACCTGTATTCCCTCCATAGTAATACTGAAATAAAATCATTAAGAAGAGGAAAAATACTCCTTCTCAAGTCCCTTAAGGTTCTTCTCATTTTACCTTTTGTTAAAAAGTGGTTTCAGCCTCCTAAGTAGGGCCAACTCTGTCTCTGACTCTTTACCCTTTTCTCCTACCAGGTCGCAGGTTTTTTCTTCTGTCTGCCAGGACTCTTTCACAGCCACAGCCTGGAGCAGCAGCAGCAGCAGTCCGGTTCTCCAATAGTTGTGGAAGGGGAGCATCCTTTTGGGAGAGAGTATGTATGTTGGGGAAAGGAAGGATCAGGGGAAAAAGGAGAGAGATAAAACATGAGCATATAATAAATGAATGGCATTCTAATTCTGCAGTGAGTATAGGATTCTATGCAACAAGTAATACATAATTTTTCTTTTCCCTTACAAAAAAATAATACATTTTAATATCTCTGTGCCAAGAACACTTAAATCAAGAAACTTATATAATGTTCAGTCTAATTCTGGGTCCCTCAGAACAAACTGTGGGGTGAGAAGAGAGAAATGGGGAGGACAAAGAACAAAGAGTTAATTATGATAGCCTGAGTGGACACATCCTCACTCTCTTACTATTTGGCAAAAAGCTAGATTAAGTATTTTATCATTCAAAGTTTATCAAATACTAGTTCATAAATACAAAATACAGCTCAAACCAGTGGACTTTTCTAAGAAAACACTCAGATTACAACTTAAAAAAACATGTGAGCAGCTTAAGTTGGTAGTTGTTAAAAAAGATGTAAGATAGAGAAAGAAACTTCAATACTATGGGTCCTCACTTTGTACACTGATATTCAGGAACATGCAAGAGTGTAAGAGTCTTTGTTTATATCAATCGTAAGAATGTTGAATAAACACAGTACCTAAAACCTGACTTTTATCTACTCTAATGTCTCACCTTCTCTAAAAATTATTTCATCCTGTAAGTTATAGGGGGAAGAATATTCATTAGATCAAAATGAGTGGTTTGAAGAAGTCTGCCCAAACTTACTTCCTCAGGCTAAGTCACACCTAGAATTCCATCCAAGTATACTTGTCTTTCTATGTTCCAAATTGCTGACAACTCTTGGGAATCACCAAGCCACTTTACTTTTTAGGAAATCTTATCTTATTCTAGGAATGGAAATAAGGCTCCCTATTTCTCAAACTCATTTTATTTTCCTTCATCCATCTTTATACCCAGAACATGCTGATTTACCCCTGCATAAGACTACTCTGGTACCCATTAATGATCCCTCAGGACATTACTAAAAAGCTACACCTGTTGTGGATCAATCAATTCCAGCTCAGGGTGACTGTGACTGTTATACAGAGCAGAACTGCTCTGCAGGGTTTTTTGGGACTGTAATCTTTACAGAAGTGCTTTGCCAGGCCTTTCTCCCATGGCACTGCTGGGTGGTTTTGAACTGTCAACATGTAGGTTAATAATCATTTGCAAACTGCTTTGCACCATACAGGGGCCTAAAATTTCATGAAAGTATCACTAATTTTCCTGATGTAAAGATATAATTCTTCCAAACTTTTGTCACTTATAATAATAAATGCTTACAGACTGCACATCTGAACTTTGGTTTGCATACTCTTTAAGTCCTGTAACTCTTTTCCACTGACTCAACTGCATTTTTAAAATATAAAATTTGAAACAGGAAGAACCAAATGGTAATGAGTTTATAGACATAAGAATGTATATCCCCTTTCACATTACTTCCTTGTGAATGAGACTAGGCAGTCAAAGCGATGTGTGTGTTTTTTTTTTTTTTTTTCTTTTTTTTGACACAAGCAATAGAGAGGAAGTGATTCCTCATAGTTGACTAGGAGGTGAAATAAAGAACTCATACCTTAAATCCCACTTTCCTAAATTAACCCACTGTTAAACACACAACTTGACCAGCTGATACACCAAAGACAAACAGAAGCCTTCGTTCCTTAGACAAATTTTGCATGCCAAGTTCCTTATTTTCTCTCAGGATCTAATTTAAAATGTCAACATTCTGGGCTCTCAAGACTTTTATTTTCCCTAGCAGTTTTCTGGAGGGATGTTCACACAGAAGGCCATGTTCTTTGGCCTCAAAGTTAGTTTCTTATCTGTTAACAGTTGATGATTTCTTTCCCCAAACTAGACTAACTAAGAAACTGACAAAATGGGAAGTGAAGGGTGAAACACCCTGCATTAATTAAGCTGAAGAATCTTTCATTTGTATGTTGGTTCAAAAAGGTAGGATGAGAATGACACAGCAATTAAATGTATTTTTTTTCCTTCCTGCTTAAGGTTTGCTTATACATACACATACAGGGGCCTTAGTGCTACTGTGGTTAAAGGGCTTGCTGTTAAGAAAGGTCAGTGGCTTGAACACACCAGCCACTCTGCAGGACAAAGATGAGGCAATCTGCTACCAAAAAGATTAGTGGCTTGGAAATCCCATGGGGCAGTGCTACTGTCCTACAGGGTTGCTATGAGTTGGAATGAACGCAACTGCAACGCGTTTGGTTTTGTGTGTGCCCATGTGTGCACACACACGATATATATTCTTTGATTCAGTTGCACATGCTGTAAATGCTTTACCTAAAATATCTTCACTAATCTTTAAAACAATGAGAAAAGTATTAGTTCCCCCATTTTAGATGAAGAAACTGAAGTTTATGGAGATTCAGTTACATGCCTCAGAATACACAAATATCAAATGTGTGTGAAGTTACTGCACCAACTTGGACTACTCATGGTATAAAGTTATTTGCTGGAAAACTCAGAACAGATAAAGGGGTGCAACAATGCAAAGGATGAATACTCCTTTTTAAAATGTGCTACATTAGGTTCTCAAGGGTTTTATTATCTTGAAAAATTTCCTTCACTTTTCTTATTCTACAATCATAGAGTTGGTAATGCAAAAAAAGGCTCCTTTATTAAGATGGCCAATGATTGATTACACCAGGAATTGGGCCATTTGCACCACTCCACCCCTCAAGTCTAGCCATGGCCATTTTCCATTTTAGAGTGGTATATCTATTTTCTTCTCGCTGGCTCACTTCTGATACAGCAGCCCTTATTCTTTTCCCTTGCCTCTATAAGCCTACACAGCTCAGGAGAGCAGGCCCAATTAGCTAAAAGGCCCAATGTTAAAAGCGCTCCACAGAGAAAGCACAAGAGCGGAAGCTCCCTACAAAGAGGAACGCAAGATAATCCCTTTATCAGTGCTCTTCTCCACACCATACACTTATTCCCCTCAAACTTCTCCTTCTTCCTTGGGCTCTGGAAATTCTCCCTCAGTTTAGTCTCCTGGCTTTGCAACTGCTTAGAGATATACCCTGTCCAAATGACGCCACTTTACCTCCCTCCACGATGCCGGCCCAACTTCCTTCTACAAGTAATCAGCGACATCTCACATGGACTCCATACTTGGGGACCTTCCATTCCCTGACTTCCGAATATATGTAATTTCCCTTCTTGGTCCTGGAGGTCCCTTTGGGACTCTGTGACTCCTCGCCCTCATGTCTCCACCTCCATCTCTACCCTAGGACTCCTTAGCCAGATCTTCGCCCAGAACCGTGGCCAGGGTAGACCTCTGGATTCCGGCTTCTGTCACAGACTCCAAGGTGTGAGCACTTCCCAGTGACCCTCCTACTCCTCCACGCCCCCTTATACTCACGTGCCACAGGCAAAGGAGGTAGTCACCGCTCAGAATCCCCCGGTGAATTCTTGCCTGGGGCTGGGAGACGGGGCCAGCGAGAGGCCAGCCGCGGACCCCGGGCCCAAAGTTCGTGTCAGAGGCCAGCGTTCCCCCAAGCGCCTCGGTGTGCCCCACTCCAGGAACCGGAAACAGGAAGCTCCAAGCGGCCACCGGGCAACTGCTCCTCCCATTAGACCCCGCGGCATGTGACCACAGAACCAATTCACTCCTTGCCCCTTGCCGGTCTAATACTAGATGCTGATTGGGTAATATCGGAGGGCGCTTAACTCCGCCCTTGTTCCATCAACTCCAATCACTATCGAGTTTTTCCACGTAAAGTTCCACCTTTTCGAATTGCTTTCCACCATTGGGGGGTCTCTCCTGGGGCTGGTCTGCTCAACCGCCCCGTCACGTGGGGTCAAGCGCGAGGCTCATTCTGTGGTAGGTTTGATTACAGAAGTATAGGAGGGCGGGTGGAGGAAGCGGAAGTTACAGGAAGCGGCCCGCCTCCGAGGCCTTGGTGGGAGTTGTTCTCACGCCAGGTCTCTTCTTTCCGGTATTTACCCCAGATTGTACGGTGTGTGGGGAGCTCTGTCTCTGCTCTATGCTAGCTCCGGATTTTGTGTTTTAGGAGATCGCGGAGCAAATGGGTTGTGGGCGTACTGTCATTCTTAACGACCTCTTTGTTGTTTCCTTTTTACAGTTTAGTACCTCGAGGCATATTATTGTTCTTATCATTATACTTTCTCTCCCATCTCAGGGCTTTTTGTTTGATAAACATGCTGCAGCTTCGTTTGCCAGTGGTATCTTTTGCATCCTCTGTTCGCTCTATCACGTTCGGCATTTTTGGAGTCCTGGGAAACGAGCAACACAGTTTTAGCTTTCATCCCTTCGTTAAGATCCTTTGCGGTTTTCCTCATGCCTTTTCTTAGTAGTCAACAGCTGGAAGTCCTAGTTAAAACTCAGTTCAAATACTATTACTTTTGGGTCCACTCTTCGGAATTAATCATTCCTTCCTTTGAATTCCTGTATGTTGCGTGTAGCCGACATTAGCTTAATTTGCTTTTGTGTACGCTTATCTCGTTCTTTGCGAGTAGGAACTGGATTTTGATTATGTTTCGTTCCTCAGAGCTAGTACAGTGCTTTGAGCCCTAAACTGTAGTAACAACAGCTAACACATAGTGTTGTGTGCCTGATAATTATTATACACGCTTTAAACAAATATTAATTCACTTAACCTTCATACCAACCTTCTGAGGATATAGCTTATCTCAACTTTACAAATGAGGAAACTAAAGCAGTTCGGAGCCAGTATTCAAAACTCAGACATAGTCTCCAGAGTCTGCTAGTGGTGGATGTTTAGGTTATTTCTAATGTCTTGTTTTTATCAATTCATTCAACAAATACTGAACAACTGCTACGTGCCAAGCACTTTTCTAGGTATTGCGAATACAGCAGAGAATCAAAGACGAACATCCCTGTTACAGTGAATTTCCATTTCAGAATTGGTACTCATTGATTGGTAAATTCAAGTTATTTTATTTTAGTTGTGGTAAATATATATATATATATATATATATATATATATATATGTGTGTGTGTGTGTGTGTGTGTGTGTGTATATATATATATATATGTATATATGGAGTCATGGAGTCTCTGGGTGATGCAAACAGTTTAAGTGATAACTGAAAGACTATTCGAATCCATCCGGAAGTACATCAGAAGAAAGTCCTAGTGATCTATTTCTGAAAGGTCACAGCCTTGAAAAAATCCTGTAGAGAAGTTTTGTTGTGCAACACATGGGATCGCTTATTCCATGGCACCTGGTATTATAACTATATATGTAATGAATTAAAGTTGATTTCAGAAATTTTGCCTCTTGGTTATTGCGTGGAGTAGCATTGGGCAGGAAGGGAGAACAGTGTATGGATTGAAGTAGAGAAAGGGCTAGAAGTGCAATTGAATATTTTGGATAATACCTTGTCTTCTGTGGGGTGTAAGTGAGCTCTGCTTTCCTTCTAGTTGCATTAATCACTCCTCTGCTTCTCAGACGTCAGTATCAGAACTCCCACCTAAGAGCTGCTCTCAAGGTTCTTGCCAGGATTAGAATTGAAATTGGCAGTCGTTGTTGAGTCTCTGCTCTGCTTTTCTCTGGCCTCATCATGAAATAGAACCTTCCTCCTCTAACTAACACATACACCCTCCTCTCCGCTGCAGGTAAACTGTTCACTTAGTTTAGAATGCAGTTCTAGGAGTTTTGTCCTGAAATCAAATGCTGAGGATGCCTCCTGCTTATAAGCAGGAGAGGAAGGTGCTGACACATTTGGATATTCTAAGAACATCCTTCAATTAATTGCTCTGTTAATTTCCAGACTTGGTCACTCTTAGTATTTGTTGACTGTGAGCCTAGAACTTCTCTGGGGCTTTGTTAGAAAGGGATTTTTAACCCCTAAACAGTTTTCTTCTATATGAATTTTGTGTTAGTTTTTGCTCTAGTGTTGCTGTCAATCACATTTTACCTGTTCACAATTTCTGATCTGCTCAGGAATCTTTTAAATTTGTCTGGTAGTTTCTCAGGGCTATTATTCATGTATTCAATACTTTGTCTATTATTTGATTAAAGAATACTCATTTTGAATTTTTTTTTTTTAAATTCTGCTTATTCTGGTTTTAATTTGGTGTTCTTTTTCTATCTTCTTAAGTCTGTCTTCATCTTTGGCTTTAATGGTTGGTGCATAAATTTGAATAATGGTAGTATTAATTGGTCTTCCTTGTAAGGTATATGGATGTTATCCCATCACTGATAGCATTGTACTTCAGGATAGATCTTAAAATGTGCTTTGTGACAATGAGTACAATGCCATTGCTTTTGAATTTGTCATTCCTGGCATAGTAGATCATATGGTTGTCTGATTCAAAATGGCCGATACCAGTCCATTTCAGCTCACTAATACCTAGGATATCGATCTTTATGAGTTCCATATAATTTCTTAAATGGAAACATGCTTTATTATTTTTAAACTTTCTTCTTTGAAATTTTATTTATTTAAAACTACAGTTTCCTCTAAGCAGTGTTTCACCTATGTTTGAGACATTTTTATATTGTATTTTCATAGTCATTTAGTTTGAAATGTTTTCTAGTTTCCTTTAGTATTTCTTCTTTGATGTATAGACTGTTGTGTTGGATGGGGTTCTCTAGAGAAACACAAAAACCAGCAAAGTATATATATATATAT